TTTTTAATCCAAAGTCTCAGTTATATCCAGTCACAATGGAACAAGATTCTGACTATATCCTCCTTAGCTAGGGCTCTTAAAACACTTGGCCATTGTTCTTCAGACTATTTCAAACTGCCTGTCTTTAAAGGTTACTCCAGGGAGTTTTTGATCCTGCCTTCCCATCTCTAGATGGCGGCAGAGGACTCCAACGCAGGGTTAAATCAACACACCCGAGTACAATGGCTGACTGTCAGAGCTCCCTAAACACATGGTACCTGTGCACCTCCACAATGGCCTGCACTTCTCCATGCGGGCCTGAACTCTGGCGCTTTCAGAATCAATCCAATAGAACCTCTTTGGTTCTTTCATAATCCGACTCACAAACATGGAGTCTGTGGGCTCCATGGCCCACCGCAGCCCATCAACCAGACCCCTATGCTAAATTTAGCTTGTAGCCACTGCAGCCAGGGCTTTGATATAACTAACGGTTCCACAAATGGCATCTGGCCAAAGGCATCAAAAGCACCAAAAGCGGTACCATTTCTGTCAGCCCAGCTGCTGCAGCTGGGATTTTGGCTGTGCTATGCTGGTAAAGTTTCACAAGATTGGTGTAGGGAGGGAGGGTCTATGGTATAACTCGAAACTATGGCCAATTTCAAGCTACTGTCACGTAGGGGGAGCTGGAAAGAAGACATGCATACCCACAATCCGTTCCCATGAGCTCATCTAAACTGGCCCCAGCTGGCTTGGTTTCGGGTCAGGTCCAATGTATGGTTGGTGAGAATGAGCACTTTTCCTTTTTTAAAAAATGAATTTTATTGTATATATTTAAGGTTTACATGATATCACAAAATACATATGGATAGTAAAATTGTTACTATAGTGAAGCAAATTAACATAGCTATCATCTCACATATTTTTGTATGTGTAACAAGAGAGCTAAAATCCACTTATTTAAGTAAAATACAATTTTATTGACTTTAGTCCTCATGTTACACATTAGATCTCTAAATCTATTCATCCTACCAATCTGCTATTTTGTATCCTTTGATCTACATCTCTTCAGTTCCTCTCCCTACACCTGTGGTAACTACTGTTTCATTCTCTCTCTTGTTTTTGATCTCATATATATTCCACATATAACTGAGATGATGTAATAGCTTTCTGTGTCTGGCTTATTTCACTTAGCATAATGTCCTCCAGGTCCATCCATGTTGTAGCAAATGGCAGAATCTCTTTTTTTAAGGCTGGATAATATCCTATTGTATATATACCACATTTCCCTTATCCCTTTGTCTGTTGGTGGACATTTAGGTTGTTTCTATATCTTGGTTACTGTGAATAATGCTGCAGTGAACAAGGGAGTGAAGATATCTTTATGAGGTGGTGATTTCAACTCTTTGGGGTGTATACCCAAGAGAGGGATTACTGGGTCATATGGTAGTTCTATTTTTTTGTGGGGGTGGGTGGGAGGGTTCTTGTTGCCCAGGCTGGAGTACAGTTGTGCAGTCTCGGCTCACTGCAACCTCCTCTTACTGGGTTCAAACAATTCTCCTGTCTCAGCCTCCTGAGTAGCTGGGATTACAGGCATGTGGCACCACGCCTGGCTAATTTTTGTATTTTTAGTAGAGATGGTGTTTCACCATGTTGGCCAATCTGGTCTCGAACTGCTGGCCTCAGGTGATCTGCCCGCCTCGGCCTCCCAAAGTGCTGGGATCACAGGCATGAGCCACTGTGCCTGACCAGCAGTTCTATTTTTAATTTCTATTTAAAATAGAAACCCCCATACTGTTTTCCATAATGGCTGTACCAATCTGCCTTCCTACCAATGGTGTTCTAGTGTTCCCTTTTCTCCAAACCCTAGCCAGCATTTCTCATCTTGTCTTTTGCCTTTTTTTCCCTATCTTTTTGATAAGCACTTTTCCTTTCAATACAAATTTACTCATTTCGCTTTCATCTGCTTCTTCTAGAATCGTCCTTCTCAGGTGCAACTCAGTTGCAGGACCAGGGTGAGGCAAATAAGGTGCCTAGAGAAAATTTAAGGAGGCACTCTCAGTAATATACAAGTGCAGGGACAGCCCTAAGTGAGGACTTCCTTAAAATTTTCACCCTAGGCACCCCAATAGCCACACAGCTTCTGCCATCCAATCATAAATGGATCTGTCCCTACCTAAAAATCAATGTCTCATTAGCACTTCCCTACCACCCAGCCTTTTTTTTTTATCTCATAGTACCTTGGCTACATTTAGTCAAGGTCTAAAAGTCTATCCCACTTTAAGGCCTACTGCACGCATTACTCCACTGGACCTAGCAGCGATGGTTTTTGGTTCAGTTAGGCAATCACACCTTCAAGACCTGAAAAGGCCAACCCCTCACCAGTTTACTCAGTTTTTCAGAAAAATACATGGCAGTGAATAAAGCATACTGTCTAGCAGCAGAGCAGCATCAGACATGTTCCTTTAATGTAAGTCTTCACCGGAGTCCAGGGCTGTTCTTTTGCCTCCAAATTACAGCTCAGGTTCAAGGAAACAAGATTACACAGGTGGGTGTGTAGGAGCCTCTCTAGCTTAGTAGCCTCATGCCACACATAAAATACAATATATTTTGAACCTATGCAGGATTGCTATGAGAGAGTACTGCTCTCCTTCCAGGACTCAACAAGAAGAACACCTGGGTATGTCACACCACATTCAGGAAAGCCCAAAGCTATGGCTTCTCCTCAAGTATTTATAGTTCATTCACAAACCTCCCAGCTCAGATGCACTTTACCAATCAAGGGTTATGTTTACCACAGACAACACTGTAAGATCACACAGCTGTCATTCCACCTTTCGTAGATTACAGAGAAAGAGTGCTGGAAGATCACCAGGAGGCCATTTTCACAGGAGACAGGAGAAAGGGTTTATTAACCCTTTGCTCACACATACTAAGGCACAAAACCATAAAATTTCAGAATGTTAGGAATAAAGAAAACAACCTAAAAACCTTCCAGATTTTTGTTTTTAAAAAGTCTCAATCAAAGTTTTAGTAATTAGAATGGCTTCATACCTTTCAACAACAGCTACAGAACCTACAAGTCACTGGGGGAGTATCTTCAAAATTCCAAGGAAAAACAGTTTCTAAAATAGAAATGCAAATCTATATAAACTATTAATCAAGCTTAAAGGTCGATCTCTGAGAGATGCAGAGACTTAGAAAATTTTCCTTAATGGACCATTTCTCAGAAACTTTTGCAGAACCCCCATCCCCACCACACCAAACAAAGGAGTAATCCAAGAAAGAGTTGCAAATCCAAGAAATAGGAGATCTCTCATAGGGAAGAAGCAATGTCTCAGAATAGTAATGAATAGAGATTTCAGGACAGTCAGCAGGCCTAAAGAGCATATCATAGAGCAGTATGATGAGGGAATTATCCAGGGGAAAGAAGAAATTTATATTTCTGTCAAAGGATTTGGGGGTGAATTACTGATTGAATATAAAAAAACTAAGGAAACAAACAAACAAAAATCATCCAATAACCCTGGGGTGAAAGAGGGATTTAAGCGCAGAAAAACCACTCTAATTCAGCTATGTCCTGTCTTTACTGTGCTGGGAGAATGGGAAGGGGGAAATGGAGGTACATTGGGAAGGAGGGTGTTGGCTTTCAAAACTTTTGGTTTACTGATCTAACAGCCATTTCTAATTCCCTTTTCCTTTGTCTCCCCCACACACTATATTCCCTTGGCTGGAGAAAGGCTAATTACTGCCTTTCCAAGCTTCTCTGGTAGCTATGGGTGAACACGAAACTGTTCAGGTCAATCATTTGTAATTAGGAGTTTAGTAAGGGTTTCTGGGAAAGCTTTTACTTTCCTTATTGAACAAGTAGATTTGGCAGTCATTCCCTTTCCTTTCTTTTTGTCTTGGACATGGATTGATGCCTAGAGCTGCAACAGTCACAAGTGCAAACATGAATCAACAAACAAAACGTGGTAAGGATGGTGGAACAGAAAGGAAGAGCGTGAGTGACTGATGACATAGATGAGCCACTGCGCTGACTCTGAACAGTCTGCCTCTAAGACTTATTAAATGAAAGCTCAGTCAGGTTTTCTGTTACTTACAGCTGAACGCATAAAAAATTCTTAGCTAATACATGATAGATGAGAGTTAAATATTCATTCTCTATAGCAGGAAGTCAATACATGATATCTAAAGATTTAAAAACTAAGAAATAACATGTTGAAGCATGTTATTTACTTGGAAACATGACAGTAAGCACCTGAAGAAATAGCTAAAAGAATGAAAACTGGATGCCACTGAGGAGTGGAAATCGAGAAAGGTGGGGCTGGCGACTGCTATTTTTCTTTTTCTTCTTTTTTGAGACACCGTCTCGCTCTGTTGCAAGGCTGGAGTGCAGTGGTGTGATCACAGCTCACTACAGCCTCGACCTCCTGGGCTCAAGCAATCCTCCCACTTCAGCCTCCCATGTAGCTGGGATCACAGGCATGTGCTACCATGCCTGGCTAATTTTTAATTAATTTATTTATTTTGTAGAGATGGGGGTCTCCTCCCAGGCTGCACTATTTATTTATTGTAAGCCTTATAGTAGGGTCTCTCAACATTAGCACTACCAACATTTTGGGCTATATAATTCTTTGTTGTGTGGGGCTGTCCTATGCATTGTTTATCAGTGTTTCTGGCCTCTGCCCATTAGATGTCAGTGGCAATCCTCCTTTTCCCCAATTGTGACAACCAAAAATGCTTCTGACCATTGCCAAATGACCTTGCAGGGCAAAACTGCCTTTGGTTAAGAACCACTGCCTTATAGTGCTATTTTAAAAAATTTTTAATTATACTGTAAATGTATAATTTTCATAAAATTAATTATGGTTAAAGAGACAGTATGAAATAAGCTAGACAGAAAACTGCCAAATGTCATTTCACCTTTCAAATACCTCTCACTCTCCTTCACTGACCTTTCCCTAAGCCTAAGAATCCCACTCCTTTCCTCCCAGACAAGCACAGACAGAGCAGACACTTACCACCTAGAAATGCACACTCATAATGGCTGCAGGTCTTGTTTGTGCTTTGAAGGATAAGGTTATTGCCAGCCCCTTCCTGCAACACTTGAAAAACCTCATTCAGAGGTATTAAAGTAATTCTTTCACTTTCTTTATCAAGAAATTTTTCAATGTCAACTCCAAGGCATGTGTAGATGGATAACACAGTGAGCTGGTCATCAGCAGCCTGAGGTTTGACTGAATATGCCAAGGTAAAATGGCCAAATCTGGCTTGGTTTAGCCCTCCAAATGTAAATGAAGTGCCCTGGCTTGTTCTATATACCACATTTTTGGAATTGGCCTCACAAGGTCTTCTCAGCAACTGCAGGGCTCTTGTAAGGTAAAAGTGGAAAGCTTTGAACTGGAAGCCATAGATATAATCTTCTCGAGATTGCCCAGCCATCTTCACAGCTTCACTGAACAGATGGTAAAAGGGAGTTTGCTCTTGAGCTTCGGAAATATATGCCATCAGGGCTATTCCATGGTTATCCTTAAAATTCACAGGGAGAAAGATTTGAGTCTTTCGGGCTGCCCATTTGGCTTTTGCATTTTCCCACACAGTATCTAATTGCTGGTGGCTTGCTTTTTCCTCCTTTAGCAGTTGGGGAACGTATTTAATTTCCATCCTGTCAGTACATTTCAGGTATTCATCATCAAATGCATTATCTGCCATGTCTAACACTTCAGCCTTCACCTTCAAAGGAAAAAGAAAGTAATACTCTTGAAATAAGAAATTTAGTGAGTATCATTTTCTCTCACATTATTACCCCCATCTTCTCATCCCTTGCCAAAATTCTCTCCTTACTTATAACCAACTTTGGGTAGGATTTTTATGCAGGAAGTATATTCCACTGCTACTGATAACTTTTCTCAGCTGTGACATATTTGTGTGAAAGAGTAAATGTCAATGGGTGACAGGGTGACAGGTATGGGTGAGATTGTGCCTGTAGCTCATTTATCTGGACATTATGGTACAGAGCAAAGAACAATGAATGTGAAGCTAAAGAAATGGGTAGCAGTCCCAGCTTTGAACAATATTCTTAGCTAGATTTCTTCGACCCGTCAAGGCTGTTAGGAATTTGAAGTATCATATGCAAATATTATTCATGATCTATAACACATAATGACAAACATTACTCCTTTTCCTTTGGGGTTGCCCCCTCCCTTGTCCATATGGCTTGGGTAGAAATGATTTTGCATTTCCTGGATAAGCAGGTGATCTAAGTCTAGCAATCAGAGCTCCCAGAGGAAAAAAATGAATCTTTCTTCCTTTAAAGCTATAAGCTCTAAGGATAATATTGACCTAGGGCTTCCAACAGTTATTCTTTTTGTTCCATGGAGAATTCTGTCTGAAAATAAAGCAACAAATAAGGCTTGCTGAGCTGAGAAGTAGAGATAAGGCCCTGAAAACATACTTTAGACACTGAGTTAACTGTACCTGAAGACTGTGTTCTTCACCAATTCTAAGAATCAATAAATTCCCTGTTTGCTTCAGCTAGTTTGAATTGTATTTCAGTCACATACAACTGAAGAGGCATAATGCCACATACAACTAAATTATACATATACATATGTTCACATACCATAAGAAGCAGGGTGGTGTAATGTAATCAACACTACTTTGAAGCCAGGCAGATCTGAGTTCAAATCCCATTTGTTACTAATTAGGTATGGGAAAGTTACTTGACATTTCTAATCCTCAAGTTTTCCATTTAAAAAAATGAAGATAAAACACCAGACTCGGTGGCTCATGTCTGTAATCCTAGCACTCTGGGAGGCCAAGTGGGCAGATCATGAGGTCAGGAGTTCAAGACCAGCCTGGCCAACATGATGAAACCCTATCTCTACTAAAAATACAAAAATTAGCTGAGCGTAGTGGCAGGCACCTGTAATCCCAGCTACTCAGGAAGCTGAGGCAGGAGAATCGCTTGAAACCGGAAGGAGGAGGCTGCAGTGAGCGGAGATTGTACCACTGCACTCCAGCCTGGGTGAAAAGCAAAACTCCGTCTCAAAAAATAAAAAATAAATTAAAAATGAAGATAAAGTGGAGGAAATAATATCTGAACTGCGGGATGGCTGTGAGAATTAAATTACATAATGAATATATGCAAAGCCCTTTGTCCCATGCCTGGCACTTGTCAAGTCTTTAACATGCTGTGGTTATTATTATTTTTTTCATAAGGTCTTTCTCCAGTGTGATGTGGTTATTTTGTATTATTTCATGTTAAGAACATATGTATTATACTGTTAGTTCCTTAAGGGTAGGATCTGTATCGTTTTTATCTTTGAATCCTATGCACCTAGCACAGAACCTGGCAAAATATTCAAGTGAACTAAATTAGAACCCTGTACTCTGGCTTACGGATCAAAAAATAAGATGATCAAATCTCCCCAGGAATACCATTTATGGGTTTCTGCAAATAAAAGGATAATGCCTCTTCCATTATTCTATACTTGTATGGTGCATAGTTGCATAAGTCTCCTTAGGGACCTCAGTTGGAGACTTTATAGACACATTTAGTCAGAAGCTGTTAAAGTTACAGATTCAAAAAAAAAGTTACAGATTCTACGTGAATGATTCTTAAAAACTCTCTCTCTTACTGTGTGTGTGAGAGAGAGACAGAGAGAGAAAGAGACAGAGAGAGACAGATACATTAACTTGTAAAAGCAAAACAAAACTTGCTTCCATATCCTGCCCTAGGTATCTCCTTTCCCGTCTCTCTTCTCTCCCTCATGAACAAACATCTTGAAAGAGATGTCTATCCTTGCCATCTCCACTTCATTTCCCACTTATAGCTCAACCCTCACCATTATGGCTTCCCACCCATTTCTCCACCCAAACAGCTCTCACTTAAGGGAGCATTTCTTCTTAGACTCTTTTGCAGACCCAACATATTCCAGTTAGCCACTAAATGTTGGAGTTTCTCAAGGCTACATATTTTCTAACTCTCAACTCCACGCTCCCCAGGCAGTTATATACATGCTTACAGTTTCAATTATGATCTAAATATATCTGATCTATCCTGTAAGTGCCAGTCCTATATATCAAATTTATTTGCCTACTTAACACCTCCACTTGAATGTTCAAAGACCCTTCAAACATAACATGTCTAAGACAAAACTTACAATTGTACAGCCACAACGACCTGGTTCTTATTTAAAACCATCCATTCGTTTGTGAACTTTTCCTACATATTTCCTTCTCAGACACACTCCGTAGCCACTCTATCACTAAGCTTAACAAACATCGTCAGAGTTCTTTCTATATGCCAGGCACTAAGTGTTCGGCAACCTTGTGAGGTAGGTACTACTATTAGCCCCCCTCCTTTTTTTTTTTTTTTTTTTAACAAAGATAAGGAAACTAAGAGATTGAGACTTACATGGAATTGGAATTTGAACTCGGCAATCTAATTCCAGAGTCTTGTCCTCTTAACCAAACTGTTCTGTTGCCTCTAAAGAATGAGAATGTTTCCAATGACGAAGACCATGGACATTTATGTAGCACTTGAAGAAGAGTGTAATTCTGTCTTCAGAACAACCATTATAAAAGGTTGAATAGAAAATCATTAACACCATTTTACAAAAGAGGGAACTGTGCCAGCTTCAGAAACTGTCCTGATTACTAGCCACGGAGAATTCTGCCATGGAAGTCATTGAGACCCCTGTAGTCCTGGGTTTGTAGGTCAGTTTCCTGACATGGGAATTTGAGCTTCAGGAGATCAAATCACTGCTATCTCACAGCCAAGAAATGCACTTTCCTCCACAGCACAGAATGTACCACAGTGCAGCTTGGGTGCCAATGTCTGATTTATTTTCAAGACTTCAACACCGTATAAGACACCAGACTCTGAAAACACCTCCCACATTCCTTACATTATGTCAGAGTTGATCTATGTTCCTGTCTTTTCCCTATGCCTCTAACAAGTCTCCAAATGTCTAATTTTAGACATCAAGTCTTTCTGGCCAGACACCACAGCTGATTGTGTATTTTGTATGATGTGTGCCTTTAGCAGTGGCAAAGTTCATAAATGCCACCACTATTCAGAGACAACTGAACAGATACTAAAAAACAGGTACAAAAGGCTAGGTGAACAAGCTGATTATATTTCTCTGATATAACCACTGAGAAAAAAGGTCATACTGATGAAATTCAATTACCAAAAATTTCTTACAAAAACATGGAAATGACCTAAAGGTCAAGGAGAGAAATTGGCTAAACAAATCACGAAACAATTACAAAACAAATACACTTAAATTATGCTGCAAGAGTATATTGAAAACCAAATCAAAACCACATTGAAATACCACTTCATATCCTCTACGATGACTATAAATGATGAAAACCAAGTAACATGTAACACAAGGATGCAGACATATTAGAACCCTAATATATTGCTGGTGGGATTGTAATACCGTGCAGCTAGTGTAAAAAAGTTTGGCAGTTCCTAAAACAGTTAACATAAAATTACCATACGACCCAGCAATTCCACTACTAGGTGTATACCCAAGAGAAGTGAAACATGGTCACAACAATAGGTAATTTTGTTATCATGAATCATAAATCATAACCCCCAAATTCATTTTTACACACACATTTCCTATATATAAGTAAACTTTACTCTGTAATGCTACCAAATAACCAAATAGTGTTTGTCTTATCTCACTATGTCAAGATTACATGATTAGAAAACATTTTAAAAAGAAAAATAAAACACACGTTCACACAAAAACTTGTACATAAATGTTCACAACAACACTATTCGTAATAGCCATAAAGTATAAACAACCCAAATGTCCATCAGCTGATAAATGGATAAACAAGATGGGGTACGGCCATAAGACAGAATATTACTCAGCTATAAGAAAGAATGAAGTACTGATAGGACTCCTGAGAACATTATGCTAAGTGAAACAAGCCAGACACAAAAGGTCACATATTGTATGATTCCATTCAGGTGAAATATCCAGAATAGGCAAAACCATAGACACAGAAAGTAGATAGTGGTTGCCAGGGAATGGAGGATGGAGAAAATTGGGGCTGACTGATAATAAGTACAGGGTTTCCTTTTGGGTTGATGGAAATGTTTTGCAATGAGATAGTGGTGATGGTTGCAGAACATAATGAACATACTAAAACCACTGAAGTAGACAGCTAAAAACGGTAAATTTTTATGGTATGTAAATTATATTTCAATAAAAAACATACTGTGACACAGGCAACAGGATACACAACAATTCTATAGAAAATGGATTAGAATATTAAATTCAAAAAAGGATAACAGTTTAAGAATTTAAGATATTTTTTAAAAGGCGTCTAAAATGGTACACAAATACAGAAGTAATGTGGCAGCTAACAACATGGGGAAAAAAAACAAGTGAAATATTATATTTTACATAAAAATATGTTACAGATGCTTAAAGAGTCAATTGTAAATAAAATCATAAAAGTTCTGCCAGAAAAAAAAGTGAGAAAATCGTCATTAATTAAAAAACATGTAATCAAACAATGCAGCATTATCTTATTTGGAGAAAAACATATTTTCAGAATATCTGATGACATGTGAGACATGCAGCACAGTATTAACTGAAAATGCAAAGAAAAAATACTACGTACAGTGTGAACCCATTTTTTTAAATTAAAAACAGTATACACATAGAAAAAAGCCAAGAAGCCTGTATACACCAACAGGTTGGGAATCATTCCCTCTGAGTGGAGGGATTATGAATAATCTTTACTTTCCTCTTTTTGCTTAATTTTAATTTTTTCAACTTTTTACAGTTAATGTGTCACACATTTAAAATGAAAAGAGTTACTTATAATAAATTAATTTACCTATCCTACCTACTTTCATTTCCACCCTCAAGCCACACAGATGCCTCAGGTAATGTTATATCAAGAATTTCCATTCCAATGACCACATGCTTCCCATTCCCAACATTACCTGGAAAATGTCCACTAGAATCATGGTTGCCAGCAGCATGGTGACTATTTCAAAATGTCCTGTCTTCATTTTTCTCTTCTAAATTAAAATAAAGAAATTTCAATTCAGTAGACTCAAAAAAGAGATGTAGGGGAGTAGAATAGGATGACACTGTGTATTTTTTCGTTTAGAATGCGAGTGGATAGCATGATGGTCAGGAAGTGATTATCAATAAATTCCTAACGGGCTACAAAAGCAATTAGGCTTTATCTAGTGGTCTAACGCTCTCATTCTACAGACGAGAAAACAAAAACTCCTTAGAATTTCAGTGATTTGCTCAAGATTAAATCTGTCCATTTCCATACTTCTCCAGATATGTCATCTCTCCCACCACAGTCACTGGGAGTCAAATTTTCTTCCCATCGCTAAATCTCCCCTCAGCATGCACAGGAAATAACACAATCAGCCTGAAAAACAGCAGTCTCAAATAGGTCCCCTAGCTCCCAGTTTCTAAGAATTCTCCAGGAATATGTCCATGCACATTATCCATTCTTCTATCTTCTTTGCACATTAAGTCATGCCCTTTTGAGTGGGACGGAGGAGATGATGAGGCCATAGTGGTACAAAGCAGTGGATTGTCAGAGATGGCCCCCTTCCCACAAATACTCACAATCAAGAGAAGCCTGAGGGTAAAATCAGTGTGTTGCATAACTTTCTAAAGGCGGGAACAAGAATAAGAAGGAACTGGGTAGGCAGCAATTCTAAGATTATACAACTATTGGCTGAATGCCTAATATTCATCCCAGTATTTATGATACTGTAACTCAAATGAAGCTTCTATTTTATCCTACCAATCACCATATTCTGGATTCTAAAAATGAGAATGAACAGCACAGGGGAAGGGAGACAGTCTTCCCTTTTATAGATCATTTTGGCCTCAATTTCCCATATTTCTTCAGAAGCAGTTTTGTTTTGTTTTTACTAAAAATACTAAAATATAGTACCAACATGCTACTTTGTGTTAAACTTCTCTTTCCAAAAAAGATTTGAATATAAGATAATAGATATCTGTCACAAGGCAATATATTTTAAGCAAGCTTTGGATCAGGATTTTCCTAAAAATTGTTCATTTCTTTAGTCTGAGTGTAAATAAGTCAAAAGGTTTACCTGGCTTTTGTGCCTTTGGAGGAAGTTTAAATGATGCTAGGCCTCAAACTGACTCCCCACTCTCAGTTGTGGTAAGCGAGTCTTCAGGATGGGATGTTGTTGACAGTGAGAGCTGAGACGGGAATGCTTTTCTTTTTATAAACACCCCCAGCAGTAGCTTGGCAGTGGCACATTACGCTACTTGTGTTCTGCTATTTATATCTGGCCCCCACACTATGCCTTGGAATCACTGCTGTTAACACTTTAAATCTCCAAGAGGCTGGTAAAGCCATAGCCATTCCCTTTAGCCACACAGCACGTTCGGTTCTGAGCCCACAGTTCTAGGCTTCTCTCAGAGAGAAATGACTTCCCATTCCTAATCCTTTGACACTGAGATATCAAACTAAAGCATGGATTTTACTCTAGGCTAAGTGATTCACATAACTAAGGGAACTTGCTTTGTTAATCACTGGCAATGGTGACAGCTATCACCATTTGCTCAACTAGCTTACTGTATTTCAGGTACCTTGTCAGGAGTCGGGATACACAAGCAAGTGAAACAAAGTACTAAAAAGCACTCACGATCTAATAAAAAACATGAACATGCATACTTAACCAAAATACAACATGTTAAGAATCCCAAGTATAGACAAAGTCCAGTGATAACACTAAGGAGGGAAGGATTTGGCAATGCCTGCAACTAAAGCTCTCATTTGCGTAACGTATACATGGTAAATATACTGACTGCAATGCTGAGGAACACTTAGGGTTCACTGACTGTGGATTAAAAAAACACAAAAATGTCCTAAGAAATTCACACATACATACACCACAATGCATTAATAGAATGTTTATAGTCGCACTATTCATAATAACCCCCACACTGGAAACCATCTAAATGTCCATCAATAGTAGAATGGTTAAACTGTAGTATATTCATACAGTGAAATTTTATATAGCATTGAAAATGAACAAACTCTGACCATATATAACAATGTGGATAAATCTCACAAAATTTTGAGTACAAAAAGAGATACAAGCATGTTTATACTATATGATTTAATTTATATCGAGAACAAAATTAGGCAAAACACTTCCAAGGCATGCGAAGTCAGAATAGAGGTCACCCTGGGTAGTAGCTGGTAACTGGGAGGGCACAGAGGAGCATCTGAGATGTTAGCTGGGTTCTGCTTTTTGCTATGGGTGCCAATTACATTGACACATTCAGTTTGTGAAAATTCAGCAAGCTATATACTTATGATATGTGTATTTTTTTGTACACACATATATTACTTCAAGAAAACATTTTCAATTATCATGAAATACACCCATGTTTACAAAATCCAACTCTACTCTTTAGAACTGAGACAAGTTCCAACCTTTTCCCACCTCACTGGCTTGGCAATCCAAGATTAAATACACAGCACAGACTCACTCCCAGAAATATCATTTTTTAAAAAGCAAGAGTTTGGTTAGAAAGAAAAAAGAGAGTGTGCATGTTTTCAGGCCTTAGGCTCACAATAACCTGCTTTTAAGTCCCAGGTATGTAGACTTACAGGAAATGAGGTAGAGAAGTTCTCCTGTTGCTGGCCTCCCAAAACCTGCCAGACTCATCTATATATCACACAAACGACAACGTTCATCAAAAAGAATAGAACAAATGCGAGATGACATTCACGGCAAGTTTGGCCTTGTTTATACCCAATGTGATTTTGTTCCATTCCTGTTTTGTTCCAGTTTTTAACTAAATTTCTTTCATTCATTCATTGAACAAATACTTGAGTCCTTAAAATATGCTAGGAACTGTTTTAGGTACTAGAGGTATACCAGTGAACAAAATGGATAAATATCTTGCCTTTGTGAAGTTTATATTCTTGTGGGAGGAGGTAGTCAAATAACTAAAATAAGTATGTAAATTATACAAGTATGTTAGAATGTAGTGAGTGCTATGGTTTTGGCTTTTGTTTATAAGCAGCACAAAGGAGACTAGGAGTGCATGGAGTGTTTGCAATTTAAATTGGATTGTTAGGGAAGACTCACTGAAAGGTGATATTTGAGCAAAGACTTGAAAGAGATCAGTCATGAAGACTGTGGTAATCAAACACAGTGAATAGCAGGTACTAAAAGACCTGAGACAAGAGAATGCCTACTTTTGTTTGAGGAACAGTAAGCAGGTCAATATGGTTGGAATATCAGAGTAGTACAAGATAAGGGTGAGAGAGGTAAGGGGGTGGTGGGGAGACCATGTCAATCTTTGTAGGCCACTGTAAGAACACTGGCTTTCACTCTAAGAGAAAAGGAGCAAATCACAGGTTTTGAAAAGAGGTATTACATGATCTATTTTTTTTAAGAGGATCACTCTGGCTGTTATGCTGAGAATGGTCTGCAGGGTGAATGTAAGACGACTAATTGACAGGTTATTATAATAATGCAAGCAGAGATTATGGTGGCTTGAATCAGGAAGGCAGCATTAAACGTAATGAGAAGTAGATGTGTATGTATGTGTGTTGTTGCTGTTGCTGAGGTGGTATGAAGTGGATGTCTGAGTGTATGATGGTATGAAATGGATGTCTGAGTGTATGTTTATGTTGTTGCTTTGTTGTTGTTTGCTTGTTAGAAACAGGCCATTTTTATTTGAGGCTGTTAAAAATCTGACTGTTGTAGGTTAGACACAGTATTTCCCGATATGATAAGGAAAAGCATTTGTGGGTTCTAAAAGTCTACTATATTTTCAAAAATGTAATAAATCACAAAAAAAATGGAAATGATCTATAAAAATACCAATTTATTATACAGTTAAAGTGCTTGTAATCTCAGAGATTTGGGAAGCCAGGGCAGGGGGATCGCTTGAAGCCAGGAGTCCTGGCCAGGGCAACACAGGGAGACTTTGTCTCTACAAAAAGTTTTAAAAATTAGCCAGGCATGTTGGCACATGCCTGTAGTCCTAGCTACTTGGGAGGCTGAGGCAGGAAGCTCTCTTGAGCCCAGGAGTTCCAGATTACAGTGAGCTATGATGGTGCCACTGCACCCCAGCCTGCAACAGAGCAAGACCTCGTATCAAAAACAAACAAAAAAAATGTTTAGACTTAAATGCAGGATATAATTTGAAGATTGAGGCAATAGGATGCACTGACAAACTAGATGTGGGCTGCAAGAAAAAGAGGGGAGTAAAGAATAGTTCCAAGATTTTTAGCTTGAATAACTGGAAGGACGGAGTTGTCACTGACTGACATGGAGAAGACTGTGTGTGGAAAAAGCATCCTGGAACTCAAGTGAAGAAAATATTTTCAAAACAAAGGAAAGATCAAAGGTGTTAAAAGCTTCTGATAGGTCAAGTAAGATGAGGACTGAGAACTGACCATTGGATTTAGCAATGTGGAGGACATTGAAAGTTTTGATAAGAACAGGTCTGATAGAACAGTGGGAATGAAAGCCTGGTAAGAATGGCCTAAGAAAGAATGAAAAGAGGAATTGGAGACATTGGAGGTGGTTGATATCTTCAACTCTTTCAAGGAGTTTTTCTATAAAGGACATAAAAGGAATGAGGCAGTAGCTTGATGGCGGGACTGGGGAAAAGGTAAAGAAAAGAGTCCAAGAAATTTTTTTTTTTTTTTGAGATAGAGTCTCGGTCTGTCACCCAGGCTGGAGTGCAGTGGCATGATCTCAGCTCACTGCAGCCTCCACCTCCCTATCTCGGCTCACTGCAGCTTCTGCCTCCCCAGTTCAAGCGATTCTCCTGCCTCAGACTCCTGAGTAGCTGCCCACCACCAAGCCTGGCTAATTTTTGTATTTTTAGTAGAGATGGGGTTTCACCATGTTGGCCAGGCTGGTCTTGAACTGCTGGCCTCAAGTGATCCACCTGCCTTGGCCTCCCAAAGTGCTGGGATTATAGGCATGAGCCACTGTGCCCAGCCAGAAAGATTTTTAAAGACAGAAAAAAACCAGCATGTTGGATATGATCTAGTAGATAAAGGAAAAAACTAATAATATAGGAGAGAGAGGGTAGAATGATTGGGTTAATCTTCTAGAGTAGGCAAAAGGGGATGAGACATAGCATACAAGCAGATGAGGTGGGCTTAGATAAGAGCAGGAGCAGTTCATATAATATGAACAGGAGGAAAGGCACAGTATATTGGCAGATACCGGAAAGAAGTGGTTGCAATAAAAATTCTTTTCTACTTGCTTCAATTTTCTCAAAAAAGTAGTAACAAAAGATGATGGTTTAAGTGACAGAGATCTGAAGAAACTGGAGAAAGAATGAAACAGTCATCTAGAAAAGGAGAAGAGTGAATGCATTATGATTGCTGGGCTGCATTAAGGGCCTACTTGAATTTAAAATGAAACCACTTAAGATGGTTGTGTTTTTCTCCATTTACATTCAGTTCCATGGTAGATGCAGACTAAGCTACACTGGATTGAATAAAAACTGTAGCTTTTCCAAGCAAGGATAAAATGATTACTTTATTTTATTGAATGATTATGGGCAAAAGATCTGAATTGACACTTCACAAAGGAAGATATATAAACGACAAATAAGTAGAAAACGATGTTCAACATTATCAGCATCAGGTAAATGCAAATTAAAACCACTATACATCCACTAGAATGGTTAAAATTAAAGACTAACAACATAAAATGTTGATGAGAGTACGGAGCTACCAAAACTTTCATAAATTGCTGATGGGAATGCAAGATGATACAGCTATTTTTTAAAAAACAATTTGGCAATTTTCATAAACTTGTATATTTACCATGTGACCCAGTAATTCTACTTACAGGAATTTATTATACTTAAAAGAAATTATTAAAGTGTGTGCTCACACCTGTCAAATGTTCATAGCAGGTTGATTCATAGTAGTCAAAAGGTAGAAACAACCCAAATGTCCATCAACTGGTAAATGGACAAACAAATGAAATAGCACTCAGCAATAAAAAGAAACAAACGTCCTCAAAATGTTAAACATAGGGTTACTACATGATCCAGAAATTCCACTCCTAGGACTATATCTTGGGTATATGCCCAAGATCCAGAAATTCCACTCTGAGGCCTACATCTTGGGTATGTTCACACAATAACTTGTGCACAAATGTTCACAGCAGTCTTATCTATAAATATAATAGCCAAAAAGTGGTCTAGATTT